TATGTAAATTTCATACACGCGGCAACTTCAACCTTGAACCAAGCGAGCGACAAGAATGCACATGATCTTACATGCTTGACTTATCGATTGGACTATGGCACGTACGAAGACTAACCCTAGGCCGTCCACAAGTGGTGCTGCGATATTCTATGGCGCGACGAAGTCGACTACACGTCGATCCAGAAATAAACTTGCCAATGAGGTTAGCCAGAGTGCGACAAGGTTTTCACAACGACTCAGGAATAAAAGACTGGGAGGCCAACCTGATACACCACTTGGCGACCAGGGCTTGCCAGCCTCGTCTTCTGAAACGGACGCCGCACTCGTATTTCCCAAAAAATCGAATGATCATGATGCCCATCTGACCAGTAGTTTCGAGCCTTCTGCGAGTGGGTTGCTTCCAGCTGTTACTTCAACCGGGATAGTGGCCCTCGCAAAGGATATCTCGCTTCTATTCGCGCATGTACCGTATATACAAGTGGTTTCCTCTGTGGTCCAACAGATTATTCAAGTTGCTCGTGTAAGCACGCGTCAAGTATTATTGTCCTAAACTAAAGTTGACAATGCATTGTTCAGGATGTTCAAGTCAACAAGGATCGTACGCGCGAATTGACGGATAAAGTCGTGATGTATGCCAACGTCATTTTTGGTGCTCTTAGCACTTCCCAAATGAGCGCGGAACATGCATTATCAGGCCTCGAATCTGACTTGCTGCACATTACGAGGTATGTGCCCGGGGAAATGCTTGTATGCTTGTTATTAACGCGTGTTTTAAGTGTTCTTGAATCAATTTACCAAATGCTACAGTCATTGGCGAATTCTTCCTTGTCATCTCGTATCAACCTCGTGCTACAAAGACAGGAACTCTTGGGACGTTTAAACGAGCAGGATAGGAGGCTCGATACGCTAATCACGTCATTTCAGGTAGCTATAACTTGCTCTCCGTGAATGTCTATTGCCAACTAATTCCTCTAGCTCAAATCATCAATAGTTCTTCGCGCGAATGTCAAGATTGGCACAGTTCAAGCGCCGAATCTCAAGCAGGCAAGTACCACAGGTGATAGAAGCCTGACGTTTGCTTCACCTAATTAGTCTTATCAGTCACCCCGATCGCTGTATGCGCAACCAGCAAGACTTAGGAGCAAGCCCCTGATGTTCGGACGTGACAATGAACTTAAGCAGATTGTAAATATTATCCAGGAGGCCTCGCCAGCACGAATCGCTATTCTGGGATCTGGTGGCATCGGCAAGACCTCTCTCGCTTTATGTTTGTTACATGACGAGAGAATCACTGCACAGTTTCAGAACAACCGGCTGTTCGTGTCTTGCGAAGCTGCAGGAAGTGTCGATCATGTCATCGACAACCTTGCTATGGTTCTTCAAATACCCGGCAATTCCTACGGAAATCTGTTAGGTGTTATCCTTGATCGTCTCAGCAAATTGCCGTGTTTCCTTGTTCTGGATAATTTAGAGACTCCTTGGGAGCCCCTGTCTGCTCGAGCGGGCGTCGAAGATTTCCTACGTGATCTCACGAGTTTGGATACGGTGACCTTGGTTGTTACCATGCGCGGATCTCAACGCCCATCGATGGTACATTGGACGGAACTCCTCCCTCCCCTTCAGCCGGTCTCCCTTGATGCCTCTGTTAACATCTTCACCTCCATCTCCCGGAAGTCGGACGAATTTTCAGTAAAGCTAATTAAAGCAGTTGACTGCGTGCCGTTAGCGGTAACCCTTCTTGCAAATCTTGCTTCTGTTGATGGCGAAACTACCGAGACTCTCTGGAAGAGGTGGTGCACGGAAAGCGTCTCGATGGTCGAGAACGGCAACGATAGGCTAAGCAGTTTTGATAATTCGATCGAGATGTCCCTGTCTAGCCCAAGGATGCAGCGCGACAATGAAACCTTGAAGCTTCTCAGTATTATCTCACTCCTCCCAGGTGAAATCTCGAGCCACACAGTTTGTGCGTTCGAAGATGGGATCCCAGGGATTGGAAACGTCAAGAAGGCATTCTCAACTCTCCTCCAAAACGCCTTGATCCACAAGGATACGTCAGGTTGCATCCGAATACTCAGCCCGATCCGTCTACACGTGTGTGCTCGACATCCACCATCGGTTCATGGTCGACGATTCGTACAAGACTACTTTTTAGACTTCGTTGACAGCCTTGCAACATCCCATGATCCATCAGCCTCGGAGACATTTTGTGCGGAGTACGGCAATATTGAAGCGATGCTTCTCGACTCTCTTGAAGTACCTTTTGGGCGTCTAGTGGAAGATATTATAGACACGATTCTAGTGTTCTGTCAAATGGCGTATACATGGGGAATTAGCTCCACGCACGCTATCGCCTCGGCTGCTGCCAAGCTTGCTGATCGACCGCTCGGACAAGTAACACATCCAGTGAAAACAAATCCTAAACCTCGTAAGGGTATCGTTCGCAGGTTGGCTGGCCTCCGGATGTGGAAAGATCCACCACAGTCACTTTCGAATGTCGTCTCTAATGCGAACATGGATAAATTCTTTGACGAGACGACTAGACTACGTGCAGACTGTTTGGGTTGTCTGGGACAACTCTTAAGTCGGCAAGCGCGCTTTGAGGAGGCAGAAAGTAGTTTTGCTATGGCTATACAACTGCATGTTCAAGCAAAGGATACCGGAGGACATGCTTATGACCTCCACAACATGGCGTCTCTCTTTTCACGTCACCCGGATACAGCTGATCGTGCGGAGGCCATGTTCAAAGAAGCGCTAGTTCTTCATCAACAGATCGGTGATCAAGATGGAGCTGCTTATGACCTCATGGGCCTGGGACAGCTACTTCTCCAACAAACGCATTTCATTGCTGCAAAAGAACCACTCATGCGGGCACTGCAAGAGTTTACGAGCTGTGGAGACGAGATCGGACAAAGCGCAGCTTTAAATAACCTTGGACATGCCGTGCTTTCGTCCTCGAAGCCCAGCGACGCAGAGGCTTTCTTCTCTCAGGCATTAAAGTTGGTTGAAAAGAACGGTGATATCGTGGGTCAAACGGAGAGTTTGGCTGGCTTGGCCTGTACGCTTCTTCTTCGTTGCCGATTCTCGGAGGCCAAAGAGACAATCGGAAAGGCGATCTCTCTGCGTTCTCCAGCGGAAAACCCTGACCATCTTCATATCCTGGGTCGTGTCAATGTTGCCTTGTATAACTTCGACGCAGCGACAGACCTCTTCCGTCGGGCGGAGGTCCTCCATCTACAAATGAAGGATGAGCGTGGATGTGCAGAAGATCGCCTGTATCTTCTGCAAATCGACTATTTCCAGGGACAAATATTGAAAAGTTGCGATAGACCAATGGAAGAAAACGTCGCGTCATTCTGTCAACGGTTGGAAGAATGGCAATCGTTGCTTGGTTCGCGCGGCCTTAGCGATCCTCGACTCCTCATAGGAACTATCCGTGTCCACACCGTTGACCTACACGGTGGTCGAAATCTGTTAGAGAAATCAAATGAGGACGGTGGCGAAAAGGGAGATTTAGGTTTAGGGTTTTACCATTATCAAATGGGATGTTTCCATCTTCGATCGGGCGAGCTGCCTGAAGCAGAGGCGAATTTCAGAGAGGCTCTACGCTTCCACGACGGGACGGAGAACGTACAAGCACAGGCGGATGATTACAACAAGCTCGCTGAGGTTTCTCTTCAAATGGGCCGCCCTCAAGAGGCGTTGGCAATAATCGTATCACAGGCCTTGAGACTACATGTGCAAATCGGGGACATCGGCGGTCAAGGCGATGATCTTCGCATCCAAGCTTGTATATTTCTTGAACAATCAAGGCTACAAGAAGCCGAGGAGTCGGTCCGCAGGGCACTCGAGCTTCATACTGAGTCGAAGATAGCACTTGGTCGTGGCCTCGATCTCGCGACGTTAAGCTCCGTTCTCTGGCAACGGCACCTTCAACAAAGCAGTGGCGTGGTTCCGTCAGCGTCATTGCCAACGGATAATAGTGCAGACGCTCTCCATGCGCTTGAACGTGCCGCAGACGTTTTTGCCTCCTTTGTGGCTGACACAGAGCTAAGGCAATGTCAAGCACGGTTCCGTGATATGTTACGGGTCCAATCCAACCTACAGACGACGTCCCAGGCCCTTCTCATCCAAATGTGATCATTTGATCAGGAAGATTTTGAACTTCAAACATCCCTAGACCGTGACTCTCATGTAAATAATGTTATGAGGGCGACCCGTATGTGGATTAGAATATACCAACAGGCCAGGCTCACTGGTTTTTCATCGGTACTTGACATTCAGAATACTGGAAACGTATGTCTGCTGTCTTATCCCAACGCAAAGCGATTGCCTTTGTCATTGAGCAAACAACCGCTCCAGGTTCGCAGCTCAGATCTTAGCTCAATAATGATCAAACCCATGGTGGTCTCTCGGCAGTAAATCCACGCCAGATCCCTCTTAGCTCAGTGGTAGAGCGCGTCACTAGTACCTCTCACTATGACGAGGTCAGTCGTTCAAGTCGGCTAGAGGGAATAGAGAGACAGACGTCTTTTTTTCTCTTTTCTCCCATGACAAGTATCATGAAAGGCATCAGCTAACTGCAGAAATTACGTACCCATTTAGATGGCTATTTATTCCCAGACTGTTTCGTGTTAATCAAGTCGAAGAAAGAACTCAGGCCGACCACTCGTACGTTACCACACAGCTGAACAATGCGCTCTCTTAGTGGCACAGGGTCCTCTCCGATCTCGCTACTAGTAGCGCTGTCCTACTTTTCACGACCACAACAAAGCGGCCGGAAGGGCTTTCGATAACTCATATGCACGCCCGACAAGTATTGTCTACCGAAAAACCTCACAGTCGTACTGCCACTACGTACCAGAACGCACGGTACGCCTCCAAGCCTTCCTCTTAGCTCAGCCTCAGAGCGTGTCTGCTCAGTACCATGCCGCTGTGCGACCAGTACCGTGGCTACAGACAAGGCCAGCCGTTCGAAGCGGCTAGAGGGATGTTAACTTGAGAATCTGAGTATCTTTTTTTAGTTTGCATATACATATCAACTTGGAGTAGCATGATGTCGATCATCACTGATTCCCTGTGGGCGCGAAGCCCCTCCTTGGGTGCCAGGGTCGGGGATGGTGAAACGCAGAAGACAGCCCAGGGAGGTAGGGTACGAAGTAGGAGGCAGATATGTAGTGGGTATTTATCATACAGACATCATTTACTATAATCGCGTTTCATAGTTAGGCCCTCCTGAAAGCCTGGAGACAACTTATCTATCAAATGTTGATGCAGGCGCTCTTCATTACATCGTTGGGAGAGATAAAAAGCTTCCATGTTGTAGTAGTATTACATATAATCCTTATACTAGAACTATCTAGTATTGCACTGCCTACTACTCGACTCCGAGTTATTGACACAAAATCTAGGTCGGCGCGCGCACGATCACTGCATATATGCGGTGGCACCTGGAACTCTCAGAGTTCAACTTCTTTTGAAGTCTAACCAAAGCCCAGCACGACCACCCCATACTTTGTTCTGGCTATAGGAAAAAAAAAAAACAGAAACATAATAATTTCAAAAATGATGAAATTGTTTATTTGAATCCCACAATGACTATAACAAGGTTCATGCATCGCCACTTGACAGCGCATACGAAGAACAGACTACCACACAGGGGGGTCTGGTGGCAGAAGTCCATCGCATTCCGTCAAGCAAACGAGGTAGCCTTGCCATAGCCGGGAATCAAAATAAACCGACGAATGTAACGTTAGTATAAATGAGGCAACGCTAGTTACCAAAAAAATCAATGCGCGGTGAATATAATCATCATAACAGTCAACTCACCATAAGGAGCCTCAGATCGTCAACGTCTTTCCCAAGCTTGGTGACTTGCATCTGCATGTTGGCAACTTGAACCTGGGTGCTGGCTGAGAGCAGGGTCTGCGTAAAACTAAGCCCAGAGGATTCATCAAATCAATCGAATCAAGTACCTGCACACCATTGACCTCTTCATCAAACCGACGACTAGCATCGTCAACCTTCTTCTCGTCGCGGTTGAGGTTTACTAGACCTGCGGTCCACGAGCGGCGTAAAATGGGTTCTATCTGCTGATTATTCTCCTCCAAGGTACTACGTGAAGATTCTGCAGTCAGTTAACAGTAAGTATCCTCTTTATAATGAACGCACTTGAGGAACTGTTGTACATCGACTGTAATGCCAGTACTACCGCCAGGACTCAGGGTTACCATCCTGTCTCTCATTCCCTTCGCGCGCGCTGCCAACTCGTGAGCCCTTGCCTTAGTTCCTCTAACACGCTAATTGAACGAAATACAGAAGACTCGGAATCAGAATTCCTTTGAACTTCATAGCTTTGACATGAACATACCTCAGTTACATCCCACGCGGCTACGATGCCTCCGAGTACACTTTTGGAAGGACCAGGAGCAGCTTCCTTCGCCACCCCAAGAACCGATCTTGTGATATCTGCGACGTTCGAAGCCTTCAAAGGGCGCCTGACCCTCTTCCAGGCTAAATGTTTGAATAGACCTCGACC